TAACAAAAGAACATCATGACATATTGGATTTTCTAGAATAAGATTATCTCTTGAGAATTTACTATTAATGCACAAATGCCATCTGTCGAAAAATATCCTAATAGAATTAATAATATATATATATATATAGATACATTATAATTTTAAATTTCTTTGTTTTTGTCTAGTGGTGATCATACAACAGTTGACCTATATTTAACTGTATTACCACCAAAAAGTGAAGCAGTTCTATTCAGTATCGATGGTTCATTTACATCGAGTTTTTCTGTTAGTCATCATAATCCTAAAGTACGTCCGGGCGCTGTTGATGTTGTTAGGTAAATCAAATAAAAATTTATTTAAAAAAAAAAACAAAAATCTCATATTAATTATAAAGATATTGGCAAGAACTTGGTTATCTTATTATATATGTAACTGCACGTCCTGATATACAACAACGTCAAGTAATTCGTTGGCTTGCTCAACATAATTTTCCTCATGGTTTGAAAAGAAAAGAAAACTAATTTTCTTTTTCTAAAATTTAAATTCATATAGGTTTAACATTATTTAATGATGGTATATGTCGTGAACCAATTAAACACAAAGCTGAAATGATTCGAAATATTGCTGAAAATGGTGATTTAATTATTGCTGCTGCATATGGTTCATCAAAAGATGTTCCAGCTTATCAATTAATTCATGTACCAGCCGAACGAATATTTGTTGTGGGAAAAATAAAAAGTCGTTTACAAGGACAAGCATGTTTTATTGTTGATGGTTATGCTATGCATTTAGGTAATCAAATGAAAGAATATCTATACAGACAAGAACTTCTGAAAATGCATTTAAACATCCTAAATACGAGTTTTCGTTTGAACGTTTTCACGTACGTTGAGAAAATATCAAAACCAGCTACTTTTTCATAAAAGATGCATGAAGGCATTTTTTTTAAAGTAATTTTGGCATCTTAAAAGTATACAAACATTTTTAGACAACATGTTTGCTCACTTTTCATCCGCTAAGAAGTTTCACAAGCAGCCGCAAACAGACTTTGGTAAATACTATATTGAGCTAACGAGGAAACCTCTTCAGCTATTCTCTTCCGATTTCAATGGTGTTTTATCTATAGATACAGCATATTCTTCTGATAAAAGCTCTAAAAGGATTTGATTAATCTATAGAATTTTTATTATGTTGAATTCTTAGAGGTCTATACTTTCAAAAATCCTGAGACTCCGAAAAAATAGACGTATTAAAAACTCAATAGTTTAGTCAGGCCGATTTTGCTAAAATGAGTATTTAGGAAAAACGAAAACTGAGATGCCTTGCCGAAAAGCAGAAATAGTACATTTTGCAAGGTTGCCTCTGATCTACAAGCTGATATATAACTAAAGACTTTAACTTTAAGTTTCGAATCACAATAGTGAAAAGACAAAATTTGTTTGGGCTTTGCAACGATGATTTCACTACTCTTGAATCCAATTGCTAATGCCATATTCGAAAAAAGTACAGAATCATGACTTTTGACTCATCGAAAATACTTTCTGACGGATCAAAAGTGAACAATCATCTCATCTAAAAAATTTCCGAGTTTTACAGGCAAAAATGATTTCTTTTATGCGTGCTGTTTGTCGAAAAGTATTCAAAGAAAACTTTTCGGACGTTTTCCAAATGTAAAAATTGCCTTGTTAAGCATCATAGGTATTATCTGAATGTAGGCGAAAACACTCAAGTAGAAATCGCATTTTTGGAAATTCTTGTCTTATAGGGCATTTCATAATTTATGAAGCTCTAAGAGTTATAAAAACAAATATTTTTTTTGTTCTATTTTAATATTTAGAAATAAAAATAAATAGGTAAGTTAATAGCTCAATATTCTAAATTAACAAATTGATTATGCTAAAATCTCAGAAATATAGTACTAAATATTATTTCATCTATTATTCAAATGCATATTCAGATTTATGGGCAAAAATTTTGCTTTCTCTCTTTCTCTACTAATACACTTTTCTTTTTAACAAAAAAAAAAATTTTTTCTTATCTTTTTAATTTTATTGCAAGTTTTTTCCTTATCATAGCTTTATTATCTAGAGTAAATTCTCAATATGATAACATATATAATCATCGCTATGGCGCTTAATATTTAGGATTATGTTTTTCTTTCAGACATAGATTAAAATGATTTTAATTTCGATCTCAATACAATTTTCTCGAATCTTCTTAAAAATAAAAAAAAAGAAAGATTTCTATTCACTTAAATATTTAATATTATTATATCTTAAGAATACATTAAGTAAACTTTTGTCTTTCAGCTGAACTTTCTAAACCTGGTACAATACGTCCATCAAAATCAAATTCTCGCCATTTAATACGTCGCGCTTGTTTTAATATACCAAAATTATTAACAACATCAACTGCTCAATCATTATCAACTGTGAATTCTGCTGCAACATATCAATCAATATCACCAACATCTCAATCTTATACATTTTCAAATTATAATTCACCAATTGATACATCTTTATCAACATATCGACGAACAAGTTTACATGATCATTTAGTTGTTAGTGCATTTCAATCAAAAGAAGCACCATCAAGAGGTAAATCACCTCATATGGCTCGTAATGCAGCAAAAAATAATGTTTATGATCCAACATCAATTGAAAAAATATAAATCTTATTATCAAATAACATTTGACATTATGTTGAATTTTTCCTTCTGTTTGTTTCTTATCTTTATTTATTCAGTGTATCGAGTTTTAGTTAAGTGTGTCGATTATTTTTCCATTATTTTGTTTTTCCTTTATGTGATAAGTAACTGCTGTATTGATCTTCAGTTTTTGTTTTTTCGTTTCAAGTGTATATGTTTGTTGGCATGCAATCATATACAAACAAATTCTCTTTTTTTTTCTGTTTTTCGGCGATTGTAAATATATTGATAAATAGATAAGCTTTACTTGCTTATTCGTATTCATTCACAAGTACAAATGGAAAAAGTGATTGTTCATACTTTGCCATCGACTGAACTTCAAGGTAGTAAATTATTTAATTCTATCAATAGACATGTTTTGATTGAATTGAAGACATTTAGAGTTAATATATTAAATTAATCAGCAGTTTTTATTTCGAACTACGTGTTGAAAGAAAAAAAATAAAGAAATTTAACCCAAATCTAATAAAGATGAAATGGATGGGTATATTAACGAAAAATTGATCATCAATAATGAAGAATCTGTATTAATCTGGTAGAAAAGAATGAGCTGTAATATATTCAATACTCAATATTCTAACTAGGATTATTATTTGATACATTAGGTAGTTTCTGCACGAGCGAGAGAGTATTCAAAGCAAATGAAAGAGTTCTTGAAGATCATCAATGAGATTTAAGTAATGACATTCTTCCTGTTCGAGACGAAGAAATAAACCTCATCGAGTAGAGTAAGGATACGAACAACGTTTAACCTGCATACTTCTATCTTCTAGTATCCTTTGTTTGAAATTCAACCTAATTTGTTAAATTCACATTCGAGACGAAAAGATGGGGAAAACACTAAAAACGATTGACCATATAGAATGAAAAGGGATACAGTTCGTATTGAGATTCATTCTTACAGATGATGCAAAGTCAACTGACGTAGTCGAGATCATAATAATATCGTTCTTCTTCCTTTTCTTATAATATAGCTGCCATCAAATTATAGATACTTTCTATTTACAAGATTATTGATCTTTTGACACTCTTGCGTTTAACTGTATTAAAAAAAGTTTCGAAAATAAATGGTTGCTGAACGTAATGATAGATATTAGAATATGCATCGAGATTTTTGAAGAAAAGTTCATCCAATTAAAAATATATCTTAAATAATAAAAACAACATGTATTTTATAAAGACAGAAACAGGTTCACTCGTTTTCGATATCGGTTCCACAGGAATCAGCACCATCTGACTCATATCTAATTAGAATATATGAATCATGACAATATGACATGCGATGTAAGTTTTACATGATTATAAATCGTTTCGTTCCCAACGAAAAGTGTTGGTTCCAGTCCCCCCGAGACCGAAACCAGTACTTCTATAGATCAAGCATCTCGTGACATCCACACTCTTTCATCTTCTCTGTCCATTAGGCCAATTAGTGTATAAAGTGTCGTCGATCTGAAGAAGAATCTATTTTTTTAAAATCATTGATTTCTTTCTTATACTACATTAGAATTTGATTCATTGAGAATATTTTATTGGTTAATTTTATGTTCAATAGAATCGAATAAAAAATACTTCAAAAAAAAAAGAGACAAAAAACCTTGCGTTTCTTAGAAACATAACATTCGACAAACATAACTTATTTTTAAATAAAAATAAATAATTACTATTGTTGTAAAATTTATTTAGAATTATTTGACGAAGCTCGTTTAGCTAAATATAGAGCTTACTGTCCTTATTCACAATTTCGGTATGATTTGCAAAATATGTCTTGTGATATATATGTATACATCTCTGTTTTGTTTTAACTGAATAGAGTAGGAACAGCTTTATTAACATCAACGGGAAAAATATATTCTGGATGTAATGTTGAAAATGCTTCATATCCATTATCAACTTGTGCTGAACGTACAGCAATAGTTAAAGCTGTGTCTGAAGGTGACAAATCTTTTGAAAAAATTGCAATTACATCGTAAGTCAATCTTCAAAAAAGAGAAAAAAACATGGTCGTCAATACAAAATTATTTTTCTTTAGTGATGTTGAAATAGGTTTTACTACTCCATGTGGTTCATGTCGACAAACATTAGCTGAATTTGGTCTTGATTTAGATGTTTATCTTATAAATACAAAAAATGAATCAAAGATGTATAAACTTCGAGATTTATTACCTATAGCTTTTACACCTCATGATCTTCAAAAACCTCGTGCAAATCATGATATAATAGGATGATTGTTTATTTGTTTTAATAAACTTAATAGACAATTGATTAGAAATCTTTTTCTTCATTTCTATTTGATTCTTTTGCATTTTCAGAAATGTTTGACTCAGAATCAGAATCGGGATTACAAAAACAAGAATCACTTCATTATTTTTCTTCTACACCAACTCAACGTGGTCATAGTACGAATTCTCTATAGATTAATTTTTAATATTTATTTCATTTTGTTTTTCTAGCTACTTGTGCTCTTGGTCATATAATTGATTATACAAAACCAGATATAACTATATTATGTGACATATGTAAATGTTTTATAAATGTTAGTGAATTAAAAATGCATACAATTTATCATAATGCATTAAAATTATTTAAATTCAAAGTAAAAAAGAAGATTAATTTTGTTTTTCTTTTGTGAATAAATAGTTTTTTTTATAAAAGGACGTTCCAAATAAAATAGATATCATACTTAAACGACGAGATTTACTTATTCAACGTATGCAGCGTTTAAAAATATCCGAACAATCTTATTTAAAATATGTTAAAACAATTAATGATGCATTTCAAATTATAAAACGAACTATTGAACCTTATTATTATGGAGATAATTCATGTATATATGATAATCGTGAAGCATCCAATGTACAAGGTGATTTGTTTTCTTTTTAAAGTATTTATTTATATATAATAATGATTATCTTAGGTATAAGTTTTACACCACGTAATCGATTATTTCTTAGTATCGGTGTATGTACTAGTCAAAATAAACAATACAAAACTGATATGGAAGATACAATGAGATTTATTGATTGTTTCGGTATGAAAAATAGGAAACAAAAGCAAACGAAAAAAAGAATATTTTTGTCATTTATTTTATCTAACTCTTAGATTCAATATTATTTTAATATTAACTCACATGCTATGTTCTTATAGAAATCTGGTGCACTCGTGTGTCGTATACACAAATATAAAATAAGTATGCATCACCTGCTATCTTCGTCTCATGCTTTATGCTTATATTTGTTGTTTGTTTAAAACAGATACTATTGTATAATTACTGCCTATGAGGGAACTTCTTCAGGTGTAAAATTACTTTTCGACTGAAATGATGTTTATATGATGAATGATAGGAAAATCTGGAATAGTTTAGTTTTCCGAACCTTCATTCTTCAGATATCGAAATTTTACTGGGTTTTTCGTTTCCATCGGATCATATGAAAACTTGAACTTCAAACGTTGCATGAATAAAATTCTCAATGAAATTAAGTCATTGGAGAAGTTGTAACTTCTTTAGTATTTTCTAATCTGAGACGCTAAATATTCGAAATTCTCTCATGTGTACAAGAAAATTTTGTTCATCTCCAGAAGATAAATAATAGAAAAGTTTAAAATCGCACAATCAAGGAATGAAAAACCAAGGAGAATTTCGATATCTTGTGACCGAAGGTCGGGAAAATCAAATCATTTTAGTTTTTTCTGTTACCCATCAAATAAACATCGCTCAGTCGAAAAGCGACTTGACATTTGGAAAGATTTCATATTTGTAAAGCTAAATTTTCACCAAACAAAACATCGACATAAGAAAGTTTTCATAAATGCATTTCATCTGTAATACTAAAATTGAGAACAAAACATATTCATGTACGATATTCATCATGTTCATGATCATTTACATTAAGTACAGTCATTTATAAAGTTTAAATCTGTTCTCTGAAAGTTCAATAGATCACATATATTTCTTTCAGAAAAACACAACATTTGAACTTCTTTCTAAATAATACATTGAAAAGTATAAAACGCTTTATAAAAATAGAAGAAGCATTCTTCCTAAAAGACAAGGAAATCTAGTAATTAGTTACAAAAGTAGTATTTCAGTATAGTTCTTTAAAACCTGTCATCTACTTATAGGTGGCAAAGAAAAATTTGCTTGTATTGGTTTATTCGATGGTTACAATGGAAAAGCAGCTAGTACATTATGTCGAGAACATCTTCATGATGCAATTCTTATGGAAATGTCAAAATTAATAAATGATATGAATAGTTCTGAAGCTGAACAAGCTCTTATAAATCGTCTTTATACAAGTATGATTGATCCATCGAGTGATCATTGTAATATAAAAACTATCAATGATGTATATCGTTTGGCTTATTTAAAAATGGATCATCTTTTATCACGTGGTATTCATGAAACATCAAGTGTTCGTTGGAGTGGTGCATCAGCATTTACAGCTGTTGTTGTAGCTAATGATAATATTGAAGAATTATTAATTAATTTAGAAGATGATAATGATGAAAAACAAGGTCATCCTGTTCTTGGTCATATTCATGTAGCTAATTGTGGTAAAATATATTTTATTTTTAATCGTTTGTTTGTTTTTTTGTTTCCTATAGAAAATAGTTTTATTTTATTTGTTTTTAAAGGCAATGTTGAAGCATTAGGTATTCGAGCTGGTGAAGTTTTTCTAATGTCACAAAAACATACATTAAGTAATAAACGTGAACGTGAAAGAATATTAGAAACAGGTAGAATTTTTCTTTAAAGAAAAATAAAAATAATTGATTAATTTTTACGTTAATTAACAATTTAGGTATTAAAATAAGTGATAATGATTTAATCGCTGGTATACATGAAACAACACGTGGATTAGGTAATCATGGTGATAAAGATGTAAAAAAATGTGTTATAAATTCACCTTATTTTTGGACATATGAAATTGATCCATCATTAGAATGTATTATATTAGCTACAGAAGGTCTCTGGCAAGTACTTCAATATGATGTTGTTGCTGATATTGTTACACAAGTAATACAAAAAAAAAAGAAATTTTATTTTATAGAATTCTATTTTTCTATTAAATAGTGTTTACCAGCACATCATATGCCAGCACCTAGTCGTATGGACGCGGCACTTCGATCTGTACTTGAAAGATATGGAAACTCAACACACACACCTTATTTAACACATGATGATGATATTATAATTAATTGTATGGATGAAATGTTATATTTAATTGAAGAAGAAAATGATAATGATAAAAGTAATTTATTATCTACATGTAATCGTGCAGTACAATGTTCGGAAGATGAAATTCATCAAGAAATATGGAATTCTCTATCAGCTCAATATCGTCTTCGTCTTGAATTAGCACAAACAATAGCTGAACGTCTTGTTTCAGCAGCACTTTTAGCACAATCAAAAGCAAATATTAGTGTCGTATGTCTTTTATTACCCGGTGCAGCTGTTTAAAAGTTTTTTTTTTCAAAATAAAAAAAAAAAAAAGAGAAAAAACATTTCACAATATTTTAAGAGTAAAAAATAAGGTTTTTAAATTTATTTAAGGCATAAAACTAGACGCAAAACAAATGTTCTAGTCTTTTTTGTTTTATGTTAACCAATTTAATGTAGGCACATTTTGTCGTAAGGCAAAAAATGTTTCATATTTGACATTATATTCCGGTGTTCTTTTTTCTGGTGCTTTATAACGTATAGTTGTTTTTTCAGCTAAATAACTAATAAGTTCACATTGCTCTTCAAATATATATAATTTTCTACGAAATTTTCGTCGTATATAATCCGAACATTTTGTATTATAAGCTTTAAGATGATATGCCATATAGATTAATGCTGATGATTGAATAGATAAAAATGGAAATTTAGGTTTAAATGTTCCTGTAGCTGTTAAACTTTTAATAATTGCTGTTGCTATTGTTTGTTCTAAATAACCAAGACATGGTAAATTAAGTAAATCAATTGGAGTTTTTGGTGGAGGAAGTTTATTTGGTAAACGAATATTCCAATATTTATCGGGTTGTCTAAGAGAAGAAGAAAATGAAAAATTTGAGAAAGAAAAAGAGATTAATAATAAACCTCATAAATTTTTCTCGTGCTTCTTCATTTAATAGAAAATATAATTTATCACGATATTCAACAGCAAATTCTTGTTGTCCAAGAACAACACATTCGTATCTAAAAATATTAATAGAAATTAAAGAATTAATTTTTTTATTGAAAAATTTACCTTTTACCACCATCAAGATAAGTTACTGGACAATAACTAGCAAATTCAATAGATTTTGGAAACATTGCTTTCGCTTCTGCTTCAGTTCGTCGATGTGGTCGACGATTTGGTGCTGGTAATATTTTACGAGGTTCAACTGGAGCGAAACGTTCAGGATCATCCAAAAATAATTGAAGTTCTTTTGGACCAGCCATACGATAATATCGTCCTATAAAAAAAAATTAGATCGAATTACTCAATACAAAAACTACAATAACAAAATTTATGAAATAAAACATTTCTTTATGTGTATACTTGGTTCTTACGAGGGAACCGCCCGAAGTGATTCAAAGCTTTTAAGCTGATTTTTTGCCGATAAGTAGAGTCCAATGAGACTAGAAAAAGTCCAAAAGGAGAAGGGTCCATGGACCTTCCTTCTCGAGTTATGGTCATTTTACTGGGTTTATCATCTATGATACGATATTCATCGAAAAATCAAATTAAGAAGTTTCGATCTGAAATTTTGCCCACATGTAGATCTTGTGGCCCGTATATTAGCCTGAAAATTTCAGCCAAAACGAATGCACTGTTCTCAAAATATTAAGTTTTCAAGAAAAGTCGATTCTTTTGGTATGTATGCAACATGGTACTGTTTTCTTGAGATTGCAGTATGTCGAAAATGACGCTTTCGTTTTGGCTGAAACTGTCAGGCTAATATACGGGCCACAAGACCTACATGTGGGCAAAATTTCAGGTCGAAACTCCTTAATTTGATTTTTCGGGGATTATCGTATCATAGATGATAAACCCAGTAAAATGACCATAACTCGAGAAGGAAGGTCCATGGGCCCTTCTCCTTTTGGACTTTTTCTAGTCTCATTGGACTCTACTTATCGGCAAAAAAATCAGCTTAAAAGCTTTGAATCACTTAGGGCGGTTCCCTCGTTAGTCATTAGAAACATAGTTCTTACAATTCTTATGTTTATGTTAGAAATTTAATTTTTTCAATACAGGCACATTTGTTTTTTTTTTTTTTTTCTTCTTTTCCAAAAAAGAAACAAACATTTTTATTTACCTCGATATTCGGCAACATGATCAGTTTTTGTAGTAGCTGAACAATCAACAAGTTCATCACGTAATGTTAATGATACTGGACAATAATGTTCATATTCGCCCAAACGATTTAATAATTCTTGTGGTGAAATACATAAATCAACAATACTAGCTGCTTTATTTAATGATTTTCTTTCAATATAATTTTGAATTTTTTTTGTTACATTCGATGTTTCTTGTAATATTTTATCCCAAATAAACCATTTATTATTTTTAGCATTAATATTCATCCAATTTTTATGTTCTTCTGTGTACCATTGACGTACAGGTACAATTTCATGTTGATAAATAGCATTTTTATATGATATAGCTTCTGGACTATCAGGTAATGGAAATTGACGACTTAAATATAAAATTAAGTTTTTTTTTTTTTTTATAAATAATATAAAAAGAAAACTATTAAATATACTTTGGATCAGTACGATCTTTCATAGCTCGTATTGTACACTCAGTTAAATCACATTCTAATTCGAATAATTTAAATGGAATAATACCTTTTTCAACAAGTAATTCAACATGTTTTTTTGTTAAAGGAAATCCATCAAGAATAAAACTAAATAAAAATAAAACAACTATATAATTGATTAATTTAATTATTAGAATTTTATACCCTCGTGTTTGACATTTTGCATTCATAAGTGCAACTTCCAAACAACGAATTGCTGTTTCAGGTATTATATCATTACCTTTAACAAGTACTTCATGCATTTCTTTAGCAAGAATTGTATGTCGTTGTTTTTCTAATATATATCGAATAGCATCACCCTAATTAAATAATAATCATTATAGATTTAAATTAATCGATTAACCTTACCAATGATATACGAACACATCCCATTTCTTGAACGATTCGCTTGGCAACTATTCAAAGGAAAACAAAAATCAACTTTCATTTATATGAAAATAGAAAGAAAAGCTATTAGTGCAATTCCTGTTATTAGATAAAAAAGTGAAACACATTTAATCCTCCAGAAACACAGTAAGGAAGTAGTTACTGATATACGATATGTGACTCGGAGGATGAGCACAATGTGCAAGTAGACGGACATTTGGCTAAAAATGAAAATTGCACTTTTTCAAGATTTAAATAAGCTCCGAAATATATTCTATCGAATGGTGTAAATAATTTTCTTGAAATACTCATTAGAAACTGAAAAACCAATTGCACGAAATTGATGTCTAGCAAAATTAAAAAATTTTTGACAGACAAATCAATCATATTTTCTGAATCTTCAAGCTGAGCTTTATATTATGGTAAAAAAAAAATATTTTTTAATTTTTATATGTTCAACTTTGGAGAAAAAATATAATATTCTTTTCTACATTGTTGTCCGAATGGATAGTTTCGTATAATGAGCAATCTATCAACGTCTAACCTTCAAACTTTGTAAGAATATTCTTCTATTTACTGTCTCGAATTCTTATTATCAAAAATAAGCAAGAAAGTTACACATCCGTCTACCAGGCAACAAAGGCACACTACAGGATGAGATTGCTAAGGTGTCTGTCACGGTCTGCGACTCTTTCTGATCAATGTTCATCACATTCAGTAATGATCTTTGACGGGCCATAGCCTTCGAATAATGTCTGTTGCGATCTTTGATGGTTTTGTGACTCTCGTCTGGCACAATCTGAGTCGCTGCATGACTGCAGTCCATCACAATCTCTGATGATCTCCGAATAGTATCTGTGATGGTCTTTGACTAGTATTTATCGCGATTAGTATGAGTTTTTGACTACCCTGGGTCACGGTCAATAGAGGTTCAAATTTTTACTCCTGTGCTTCAATACTCATTTTAGATTGTATTTTATGAAAAACAAACAAACCAGTTGTTTTGCCAGATTTTGGTGGACCAAGAATCGCAATTTTAGCTGGAATGAGTGATTTTGGTGGTGGTCGACGAACATAAAACATTGGATTTTTAATAAATTCATTTCGTGCTTCATCATCAGTTAAATAATAAACATATTTTCGATAGACAACTGTACAAGGAGGTTTATCAGGTCCAAATGGTGGTGGAAAACAATCACCATTATGTAACTAAATATTTTAAAATAAATAAAAATCAAGAAATAAAACCAATTACATACTGATACAGGACAAAATTTTCCAAATTTCGAATAATGTAAATAACCAATATCGATTAATTTTTGTGCTAATTGAGCTTTTATTGGATAAACACGTTCGAATACATTTTGACGTAATGTTGTAAATCGTTCAATTTTTTTACTAATACGATTTTTAACATAACGTGATTTATCTGATGCATTAACAATTGCAAATGGAACATATTCTTGTTGAAAAACTTTCTAAGAAAGAAAAAAAATAAATAAAAATAATTTTAATCTTCTTTTTTCGAATCAAAAATTGATTCAATATACTTTAACGCCGTCGATTTTGTCTTTTGCATCATTTGCTTGTTGTTCAATCATTTCACCAATACGACCTTTTGCTGTATTGGCATCTTCTTCGTCTTGTATTACATCACCTTCTTCTTCTTCGGTCTAAATAATGAAGAGTTAAAAAAAAAAGATGAATATGTTAAATATATGAAATTATATACCTGAAATTCACTAGCTAACGTCTGTTCGATTTCATCATCTTCGACTGTTTCACCCTATAAAAAAAATCAATTCACCATGTCATTATTTTATTTATTATCTTCCTACTGCTTCGATGCGTTTTTCTCGTTCAAGAATTAATTCAGCTCGTCGTTCATCCATAGCTTTTTTCTACAAAAGGAAAATAAATAAAAAAAAAAGAAATTTTTTAAAAATATAAAAAATACATTTTTTTCCAAACCTTATCTCGATCTTTTTTTGCTTTATTTTTCATTTTTTTTTCTTTTCTTAATTGCATTTTTATTTTCCATTGTTCCATACGTTTTGGTAAGATTCGTTTTAATATATCTTTACTTTCAGCATCAAGTTGAATAGCAATATCAGGCAATAATTGATTATCAATCATATAAACAGTTTCATCTTCTGATGATGGAAAACCTTCAAGAACAATACCACGTGAACGAAATGGTTCTTCAGTCCACCATGGTTTAACAATTTTATCAAGAATTTCAGGTGCTAAAGGTTCACCATCTTGTAAATATGCTTTGATATTTTCTTCTTCAGCTGTTAATTCTTCAGTCTAAGAAAGTAAACCAGTCAAAAAGAAAAAGAATATCAATTTTATTTACTTCTTCAATTGGCTTTTCTTCTTTTTGTTCTTCTTCTTCTCTAACAAAAAGAAAATATAAAAAAATTTCTAAATAGAACATTATTTTTTCGATTCTTACGGATCAGGATCATCTCGTGCTTCATTATGTTCTGGTCCAATTTTCATTTTCGTTTTACCAATAATTAATTCTTGTAGACGATCACGAAATTTTATATGAAATGTATTATATTTAATAGCTAATTCACGTCCATGTAAACTTTTACCGGCACCTTCAGGTCCAATAAGAACTATACGCATAGCAGGTAACTAATTAAAATAAAGCAATTATTAGAGATCAACAAATTTAGTTCAATTCCTCTAGCTGATCTACTCGAACAATTTTTTATTTTGTTTTTATGAATGGTACGTCCGGATACAAAACTAATGTTGTTCGGTTTTTGGAAATAATACTTCCGGGTATTTGAAGCCTTTTTGAGTGCGCAACAAAAGTTTCGCTTCTATTGAAATGAATATTTACTTTTATTTAGTTGTTTGCTTCATCTTTGCACACAGCATAGGTGTTCATCGCGGCTGAAAAATTTACCGCTTTCACGACACCACGGCCATGAGCATCGCTGGGACAGAATAGGAGTATATGAAATAAGCTATTAGATAAGAGAAAAACGGCAGATTTTAAAGTGTCTGTATGCCTAAGTCTTTCGCAATGTATTCATAATTTTGTTGAATCCCCAGGATTTTCATTGCTTCACACAACTCCCATAATTTTCCAGACTGTTTAAATCCAGAACTTTTTGTCAGTTTCTGGGCCGTCTCAGCATAAGATAAAGTTGAGTCATTTCTCGCTTGTCCAAATGTGTATTTCACATGTTTCAACTGTGCTCAAGGAGGAAGCAGACAACTAAATAAACACAAACGTACATAGCAAATACTTCTAACTCTCTAGATCAAAATAAAAGAATTTATTGGTTTTAACATGGGCGAAACCGTGGTCAGATACTGTTTGTTTTGATTATAAAGGCAGCAATACTGTGTGTAGGAAAACTTTGTTCTGTTACTGAAATGTCTTTCTCAAAACAAAACAAAAAATTTGGTATTGCTTAATTCTAGAAACTGAACTGTTGGAACAGATCATGTAATAGGATCTAATCTCAACTTTAAGTTGACTGCTAATCAATTTGTATTAGTTATAAAATAAATAATTACTGTTGGTGGTTTATTGACTGATAGATATTTAAATGGTGTTTGTAAGAATAAATTTCGATTATCTTCATTAGCAAAACGATATGTTTTAGCTTTATATGAAAGAGTAAAATCTGGTTTTCCAGGTACAAGAATATTTTTATCGATTAATGCAACTGGATCATAGATACTTGTATCACCAAGATGTTTTTTTCGATCACTTTTAAATAAATCAATAACTTCTTCTTCTTCTTCTTCATTATCATCACCTTCTTCATCTTCATTTCCTGTTTCTTCTTCTTCATCAACATCTTCTTCATTATTTTCATGTTCAAGTACAGTATATTTAAATTGTTCTGTAAGAAAATTTCAAATAGAAAAACAAAAAAAAGAATAAGAATTATTGTAATATATACTTTCAAGTGCGTCGTATGATTCTTGAAATAATTCTTCATTTGCTTTTAATTTTTCTCCATCTTCTTTCATTAATTCAATAAAAATTGGTTCAATATTATAAATACTTGATATAGTTTTCATCAAATCATTTATACGTGTTATATCAGTACGAGCTTGTTGAATAAATGTTTCTTGTTCAATACCAGCTGGTGGTAAAATTTCTTGATCAAATGGTATAGGTGATATTGATGGTGGAGGACGACTCAGATCAAGACCTGACGCAACTATTTATTTGATAAGTTTATTAGATAGAAGAAAAAGAGAAAAAGATGTTTTTATAATACATACTACTTGATTTATCTTTGTCAGGTTCTTTACTCATTGATTCATCCTCTGGAAAAAAGAAAACATAAATTGTTTCGGAAAAGCCAAAATATATGATTTGATAAGCGAATTTATATTCATATAGTTAACTTAATACTAACTCTGCTAGTCTTGAATAACTTTCGAAATATATATATGGGTGCGATCAACTGGCAGGAGGCCCCATTTCGATGCACTCCTATTGTACGGATAAAATATGCTATAGTTCGGGTTATATAAGAGAGGATCCTAGATAACCCTGGATTGGCCCGAACAACATCATGTTTTATCCGTACAATAGTAGAGAAAAGCTACTAACTCACACGATAAGCTCGTAGCTTTTCTCAACTATTGTACGAATAAAACATGATGTTGTTCGGGCCAATCTAGGGTTATCTAGGATCCTCTCTTATATGACCCGAACAATAGTATATTTTATCCGTACAATAGGAGTGTATCGAAATGGGGCCTCCTGCCAGTTGAACGCACCCATATGTATAATGCTCCATTTATAGTTTTCCATTGTCATCCAACGAGAGAAAGCTTCTAACTGTCGTTTTTTTTTCAAAAATTCTAGTAGACTATAGGTAATTGACCATAATAATTTCGAATAACAATATTAGACCGACAGCTACACGTCAAGTTGACTATAAAACACAATTTTGTTTTCGTTCGAGAACTATTAATGAAGCCAGTAGAAACATAATTCTTTCTTTTATAAGAAAAGAAATGTATTTGAAGGATATGAATGGTCAAATGAATCTTGCATATCTACACTTCGGCTTATCTTGTATTTTAAATCTTCTTTTATCATCACATGATTATCTTAATGTTGAAAATAAGAATTACCTTCTGGTATTGTTTCTGGAATTTTATCAATAAAATCTTCTTTTCTTGGTTCATAATTTCGATCTTCAAGTATAGCTTGTTCCATTTCTATATAAATATATATCATTTAAAAAAAAATAACAAAGAATTCTAAATTTATTATAAAACCTTTTCCATCTGTTTCATCTTCATCATCCATTGGTTCACCAGCGTCAATTTTTCTTTGTCGTTCAACTAAACGTTCATTTCGTTCTTGTTCAGCAATTATTTTCATTTCTTCCATCCGTCGTCTAGAAACATCAAAAAATCAAAATCTTTTGTTTTTTGTTTATTTGAACTAATTCTTATTATACTTTTGTTCTTCATCTAGAATACGTCTTTCATTTGCTTCACGTTCTTCACGTTCACGAATTTCTCTATCAATTTCTACTCGATTTGCATTATACCAACGTTTTTGTAATGCTTCTAATTGTGCATGACTATCTTGTAAAACAAGAACATCATCAGGATGAATATTTTTTTCATTTAATAATGTCCAAATTTCATTATCATATGGAAAATTAACAAATATCCAATTACCAAATCTTAAAAAAATCAAATAAAAATCAATTAAATAGAAAACGAATTTGAAAATTAAATTTACAAAGGTCCATTAGGATTTTTTTCTCGTTGTTCTTGTTCAATATTTTGTATAGCTTTATGCATTAATTCAGCATAAACATCAGCTGGTATATTAACAGCTGCATTACGTGCTTCTTCAATAGCTTGTTCAACAGCTTTTTTTACTTCAGGATGATCAGCTGTTATTTGTCCGATAGGTTCAACTTGCGTTTTTTCATCTTCAGGACCTAAACCACGAAGATCCTCTTGTGGTACTTCAGCCGGCGGCGGTGGTGGTGGTGGCGACGAACGTTCTGTTGGTGGTGGTGACGAACGTTCGGTTGGCGGTGGTGACAAACGTTCAGTTGGCGACGTTGATGAACGTTCGGCGGGTGACGGCGACGAACGTTCAGCGGGTGGTGGTGACAAACGTTCAGCAGGTGGCGGTGACGAACGTTCGGTTGATGTTGGCGGTTGTTCTTCTTCTTCGTCAGCGTTTGGAGCTTTTTCTGTTTGTTCGAAATCATTTGGATCAGTTGTTGTTTCATTGTCTTCTCTGTTTGATGGTTCCGGTTCTTCGTCTATTTTAGTATCAGTTTTTGATGTTGCTTCTTCAGTTAATTTTTCTATGAATTAAAAACAAAAATGAAAAACTTTGTTTTTTTTTTAAACTTTATTCAAACCTGCAGCTTTTGTTTCGAGTTGTAGTTGTAATTTGTCAATAGTAGATCGTTGAACTTCATTTTTAATATTTTCAATATATTGTTGACGAAGTTCATCCATTTTTGGTTGAGCATATGATACCATATCAATAACCTTCAGTTTAATTTTTTTTTAAATATTTTTTTTTTGGTTGTTTCTAACTTACTGTTGCATTATATTTTTTAGCAATATCTTGTGCTAATTGTTCAATACCAGATGATCGGGGACCATAGAGAAAAAGTTTACATGGTGCTCGTGGTTGAATTATATATCGACGAGGATTTTTTTGAAATTCTTTTAATGATTCTTTACTTGAAAGAACAAATATTTTATCCATAAAACTACGAAGAAATATGTTTTTTTTTTTAAAAGATTTAGATAAGATTATAGAGATAAACATACTGAACAGCTAAATCTTGTCGACCAGGTACACGATTTCCTTGTTTAAGAGCAACAGGATCAAGACGTAACCATCGACTTCTTTGCCATTTATATTTATTTGATAGAGCATTTGAACCAGTTAATGAAAGCATTAATTCTTCAGTATCCATTTCATCAGCTGGTGCAGCTTCTTCAGCACGATGTGGATCACTACGAACGGCTTTTTCACCTTCTTCTTCTTCATTTTCTATAGAAAAAAACAAAAAAATTTCTTTTTAATTTATTTCAACTTTCTTAACTATACCCATTTCGTTTGTTTCCTGTGGAATTTCTTCTTCTTCTTCTTCTGGTGGAAAAAATCGTTGAACAACTGCTGCACGTCTTAGTGCATATGCATTAAGACGTTCAAGTAATTGTTCAAATAGAATTGTTGGTGACATATTTCCATCGAGTTCAACTAAATATGATTGTGGTAAACTAGCCATATATTCTTCAAGCATTCGTAATAATTGATCTTTAAAAAATTGAATACTATCAGAAACATCAGGCATTAAATCTTCAGGTCGTGTTACTAATCGTTCAACAATTTCTGTTAGTACAGGTGAAAAAAATTCATCCTAAATATTAGATTTCAAGGTTTTTTTAATAGACTTTTTGTTGTTGTTGTCGAATACATACAGTTACTTGTTCTTCTTCTTCAGCTTCTTCATCATCATTATCAGCATCATCATCAATATCACTTACATCATCATCATCTGTCTGTTGTTTACCAATCTAAAGAAATCAATTTTTCTTTTCTCAAAAACGATCTAAATAGATGGTGAAGAAACAAGTCTTCAAATAAAGAGCAAAAGAAAAACAGTTTTCCTGTAATTATCAAGAGCAACTACATTTGATCTCGCTGGAACTTTATTAACAACTTTTTGTTTGTACCCTTCGAGTCATATAAGACTTACTACTTTTTCGACGGGTGTAGGTGCATATTGTTCTTTAATATACAATGTACCAGTCATAGGATCAATTTTTTCTTCTTGTCGTCTGGTAATTAAATCATTATCAGGTATACGAATATTAACAACATAATCCGGAGGTAATGGCCAATTTTTCATACCTTCCATTTGATCACGTAATTTCATTAAATTTTCATCCATTAATGGAAATCCATCCAAAATATAGCCTTTACAAAATAAAATATTTTATAAAACAAAACAAAAAACATTTTATTTATCTTATACGAACCATGATGTGCTACTTCAGGTGAATGCATTTTAATATGTAACATTCGTGCAATCATTTGATCAGGAACAGCTTCACCATGTACAAGTAATTCACGTGCATGCATACCAATTTCAGTTTTTTGTTTTATATTTGTTGTTATAAGATGAGGAACTAAAAAGTGAAAGAAAATATTATTAAAATAAATAATAAAATAAATATAATTAACTATTAATAAGTTCAGCATGCCAATCATCAGCTAATTTTTTTGCTAAAGTTGTTTTACCAACACCTGGTTTACCCACAATAAGAAAACATGTTGGTTTTGATTCAAGAAATTTTTTATCTGCCTAAAAAAAGTAAATAAAGATTATGAATAATAATAAAATATTCTTATTTATTTCGTTTGAATTTTCTTTCGTATGACTATCGATATTAATCGAAATTCAATACAAAACTGATTTCCGGTACTTTCCAATTAATCTTAAATACTCTCTATTAATTTTATTTTTAGTTTTGCATGATAACAACACGCCATAGAGACTTCATGGTTTGTTTGAAGAAAGAGCAAAAGTGTGTAAAAATATTTACTGAAGGCTAAAAAATGATTCACAATTGCATACGAAATCAGTAATGAGAAATGTATCTAATTGATTTGCCTTACATTCGACTTTCGAAATTGTTAGGAACATTACGTGTGAGTGTAACCAATACGACATGGATTTTCTAGTGGTATCAATGCAAAAGCACAGGTTCGGTACGAAACAGTTTAATTAAAAATTTGATTTAGTGTCGATAATGTCCAATTAGTCGACGACAAAAGTTTCGCCCGCTGACTATATCATTTATTTTACGCTTTATAATGACATTAAAAAAAGATAATATTATTATCACATATACTGTTCTTAGATACTTCGTTACTCATATTCAGCTTTTTTATTTCTTTAAGTTTTTTGTTTTAAATTGATTAAATACTAGAAACCATTAAAAAATTCGAAATTTGGCACATGAGGAATGTTTATTTGCGGTGAAAGAAGCACAAAAGCCAAACAAGACATTCAATACAATAGCACATCAACTGGATTGTGATCGCCGAACTGTTTGTCGTGCTATCGCTCGCTTAAATGCAACAGGATTATTAACTGAACAGGAAAGATCAGGTCGACCACTTTCCCTCACTGGAGGACAACAACAGCGGTCACTGGACAAGTACATCTCAAAAAATCTAACTGCAACTTCTAATCAACTTTC